CTTCCATTGCTTTTCTTCCCAAACCCGCGCTTCTCTCTCTGCATCGAACTTGAGAAAGATCCCCTGACAACATTAGCTATGCTTCCCAATCTACGGGTTCTCGTCCTCAACAATAACGCTTTTGTTGTGACGGATATGATCACTCCTTTAGGTTTCCCTGAACTCAAACGTTTAGAGCTCTTGAATTTGTAATTTTTGGAAAAGTGCATGGTGGCAAACGATTCTATGCCAAAGCCCTGCAACACAAAAGTTGGAAATTGCAAGATTCTGTCAAAGCTTGATGGTTTTGAATTTCTTACTGCTCTTAAAGAGTTGGAGATTAATGGAGACATGTCTAAACCATTTGAAGATGGGCCGCGCTACTGTAGTCCTGAACTTAGAGTTCCAAATTCAAAAAATAAGGACATGTAATCCTGAACTTAGAGTTACAAGTTCAAAAGTTAAGGACATGTAGTCCTAAACTTAGACTTACAAGCTCAAAAACTATGGACAGGTAGTCCTTAACTTAGACTTACAAGCTCATAAATCAAGGAAAGCTAGTCCTGAACTTACAGTAACAAGCTCATAATTTAAGGACACTTGGTCTTGAACATATAGTTGGAAGTTCAAAAATTAAGGACACTTGGTCCTTAACGTAGAGTTACAAGCACAGAAATTAAGGACAGGTAGTCTTTAACTTAGATTTACAAGCACAGAAATTAAGGACATGTAGTCCTGAACTTCGAGTTCCAAGTTCAAAAGTTAAGGACATGTAGTCGTGAACTTAGAGTTACAAGTTCAAAAGTTAAGGACAAGTAGTCCTAAACTTAGACTTACAAGCTCATAAATTAAGGTCAGCTAGTCCTGAATTTACAGTAACAAGCTCATAAGTTAAGGACACTTGGTCCTGAACTTTATGAGTAGAAGGGTATTTTCGTCCGGGCGGGTAAAAGTTTATTAAAGCAGTGGCTAAGGACTAAAGACATTTTAAATAATGGCTTAAAAGTAAATACATGTCTTATTAATGGCTACCTGTGCACTTCCCCCTTTGTCATACACCTGGACAAGCAACTAAGCGGGCTTCAAGGAAGATACAGGCCTATTTATGTTTTGAGTTTGAAAAAGTACAGCTCATCTATTATGCGCTTTTGGTAAGGGATTTTTACATTCCGATACACTATTTCAAACCTTATTACGGAAAATGTCCAAGTTTTTGTATTTACCCGATCTAAACACGTTTTAGTTACAAAATATATACATTCCACCTTAAAAGGCTCACAATCCATTATTAGTGCGTACAATCAAGGGATTTAGTTATATCTTTTTTCTTTTTTCTCTCCATTTTCCCCTTTTCTCTCCAGATCTTCCACCCTTGCAGCAACTTAAGCCAACTACTGTATCCCTTGATTTTAGTTTCCAATGATCAAAACTACATCTTTAGTTGCCAGACATCAGCTTAAGGACTTCACACCTTAAGCAAAAAAAATAACTTCAAACCATAACTGCACATGACACTAGCAAACCTGATTAAGAACAGCAGCAAAAGCCAGAAATACCAGCAGAACTTCGTTCTAAGAAGTACCAAAATATATTAGCAAACGCACCAGTAAACGGATCTTGTAAATTAAGATGTGTAAAAGGATGACCACAAAGAATAAGTGTGTGAAAGGGAATTTCTGTACAAGTTGGAGGAGTAGAGTATGTACTAAGCCTTAAAAGAAATGAAAATGACCTCCAACACGAGGTGTATCGATTATCGTCCAGTAGTACTGAGTGTCAATGGGATAGTAGTGGTCGATATGTTAATTCCAATGTCGACAAAATTCTGATAAACTCGAAGTCAAGTTAAGACGCATTACTTTAAGCCATTACAGAGCATCTATCAATTGATATACAATTACAATTTTCATACATTATTTCTATCCAGTTATATACAACTACAATATCATACCACTTAAAATATAATTTTTATACAAATTTTATACAGTATGTCTTTTGTATATTTTGTATCTGATTTATACATAGTAAAACAAATTTCATACAACTAATTATATATTCTACAACTTATCTACAGCTTTCATACATTATTTCTACCCAATTATATACTACTACAATATCATACCACTTAAATATAATTTTTAAATACAAATTTTATACAATATTATTCAACTTTCATACAAAATTTAAATAAATATATATATATATATATATAACTACAGCAGAATATAATTACTACAACTTTATTATAATTTCGTAAGTATAATGTATGTCATGTCTTCTTCTTCTTCTTCTTCTTCTTCTTCTTCTTCGAGCTTCAATCTGAAATTCAGCCAAAATCAAGTCTAATCTTCACAAAAACACCCTCGAAATTGAGATATAAACCCAAACCATATTCCCAATTGTTTGCAACAGCACCTAATCCAAACAAATAATGGTTTTTGAAAACCCAAATTCGAATTCAAAGCTTCAATGTTTTTTAAAGCTGTCAATGGTGGAATTGCTGCTCTCTTTTCCTTTGCTCTACATTACTGGAATTAGGGATTGGGATATATATATATATATATATATATATATATATATATATATATATATATATATAGAGAGAGAGAGAGAGAGAGAGAGAGAGAGAGGGAGAGAATAAGGATGGAAAATAATTGATTCCTAATATAAAGGGATAATCATTTAATTCCTAAAGTGTATATAATTAGTAAATTTGTATATAGGATGTAATTAAATTGAAACTTGAGTAGGGAGGGTAATAAAGTTTTTAATCGTATATAGGTATGTATCCCTTTTGGTAATATATCGGGCCTCTGGCAGCTATAAGGCACTGAGATTGCATGTTTCTTTAAGCAAATTAATAAGGGGTATTATGACTTTTAATCCGTGCCAAAAATTATTTACATCTGTTAGCCAAAAAAATGTATAAAATTTGTATAATTTTTGTATATAACATATAAAATGTATATTGTAAGCACGTAATTTTTGACCCGCACGATTTCTAAAGATTATTTTTAGTATTCGTAGTATTTTTAATATTTATTTGAGTTTAATGATATTTTCATCTTCAATTTTAGTTTTTTTAATATAAAATTGAAAACACAAAAAATAGTAGTTTTACATTACTATTTAATTCGGGTATTAGTTATTTTTAGAAATATATTATTTTTAATCTATTTTTATTTTAATATAATCTTTGAAAATATCAAAATTAGTTTCAACTTTAATTTTTAATTTTATTATAATATTAATTTATTAAAATCAATTAAGAGTTATTTTATATGTATTTTATATTACTTTAGAAGTAAATTGAATTTTTAGCTTTTTCTTGGCCAAACTTTGTAGAATCTTAGAGCCCAATTCAAATTTGAGCCCAAACGGATGCCCACAAGAAATATATCTCTTTACACTCAGCAACCCAACCAAAAAATTGCACGAGCGCCCTATTTGGTCACCCTCATTTAACCTATACCCATTTTTTTAAAAGTTTTAACTTGTACCCACTTTTTAAACAACTTCAGGCGTCTTTCTCCTCCTCCTTCTCCTNCTCCTCCTCCTTCTTTTCTTCGGTGACAGTGATTTTATATGGTGTTTGTGAACATATTTTAAGATAGTTTATTGATGTTTTATAGTGGTGGGCTGTTATGACGCTTTATTTTTTGCTTAGGGTTTCTTCTTCTTCTTTTTCTTAATTGCAAAATGGGTTCATTTGATTTATTGTTGTTTTAAAAAATTGATGAAATGGATTTGTTCCTGTTGATATTTGGAGGCTATGTTTCAAATTTGAGCTCATTTGGAGTAGATTTAGGTATTAAATCGTATATTTGATTGTTATAATTCGAAGAATAAATTTTGTGTTTCTGAGCAATTTGCACTTCAGGCCTATTTGGCCTTAAGTGCATGAAAACATTGGTTGCACTTTAGACCTTTTTTCCTTGAGTGCATGTGAAGTGCAATTTTTCACTTCAGATTTATTGGCCTTAAGTGTAGCAAAAAGTTTGTTGCACTTCAGACCTTTTGGCCTTAAGTGCATCTGAAGTGCAATTTTTCACTTCAGACTTATTGGCCTTAAGTGAAGGAAAATGTTTGTTGCATTTCAGACCTTTTAGCCTTAAGTGCATCTGAAGTGCAATTTTTTACTTCATACTTATTGGCCTTACGTGCATGAAACCATTGGTTGCACTTCAGACCTATTTGGCCTTAAGTGCATCTGAAGTGCAATTTTTTCACTTCAGAGTAATTTTTTTTTAACTTCAGACCCGATAAGTCTGAAGTTGATCGTAAAGTGAGTACGATTGCAAATATTTTTGCAGAGTGAGTATAGGTTCAATTGTAACCCCAAAACCAGGTATAGATGCAAAAGCCCCCAACCCAATAGCCCTAATTTACTAGAGCCGCCAACCCGGTCCGTCGACCCGCTCCTTTATTCATTTTAAATCTCCACCTTTTATTTCATTTAATCCAATGGCCAAAATCAATCTCCACACCCCATTTAAAAACTCATTTTCCCAAACGCTAACCCTGAGGAACATCCTAACCTAGCAGCCGTATCTTCCTTCTTCTCATGTACGTCACCCTTTACCCCCCATTTATTATAATCTAGTTACTATAACTGAATTTCAAAAGTAGTTAAAAGAAGAGTTGAATCAATAGTTACTATTTATTAATGGGAAAATTTCATATTAAAATAATTGGGCTGCCTCCTTTTCAACTTTATAGCCCATGTTTCAATTTACAATTGAGTAGCCCAAAAATTATAGGCCCATATCCGAAAAAGGGGCGTTATTTCCGTTTTTTTGGGAGTAAGAAGCGGGATTTTCTGCATTTTCTCTGATTCTTTCCAATCCTCTTCCCCAAATACTTCAAAAACGAGATCTTCCGATCAATGCAGCTCCAAAAATCCTAGAATTTCTTCTTCAGCTCGAATTAACAACAAATGAAACACGAAAAATAAAATTTGTTTGCTGCAAATCAGCACAATTTTCGTTTTTGCTGCAATTTTGATTTCAATTTTTTGTTCGATGGAGATTTTTCCAGTTTACGTTCTTCATAGTGGTGAATGGGAAGAAAACAAGTTTATCAATTTCGTCAGCGATTGTGTAATAATCGAGTTGACATTCACCTACAACAATTTAGTTGCAGCTATTTCGGAACAGATTAGGATCGATAGTGAGTGAAACACATTAGAGATTAACTTTCTCCCAAATGTTGGTTTGCCACCGATCCTGATTTACAACGATACAGGTGTGAAGGTGTATATTGAATTAAAGAAGAAAAATTTGAATTTCACTGAATATCCGTTGTTTGTGACAGTGAAAGAGATTTATGAAAATCGTTTGGTTCCTACAAGTTCTAGTTGTGTAGTTGCTACAAGTTCCAGCTGTTTGGTTGCTACAAGTTCAAATTCTAGAGATGTATCAACAATTGATAGCACTGAGATTGTTGATATCAAATTTATTGAAAATACAAAATTTAGTGAAAACACGGGTATAATAGATGATATATTGAACGAATTTGTTGAGGAAGATCAAGTTTATAAGGATAAAGAGACAGTTGTCAGTGTGATGAAGAACTTGGTTGTACGTGAGAGGTTCCAATTCAAGGTGAAGAGATCAAGCGCAACAAGGTATGTAAATAATTTTATATTTTGTTATATATATGTATAAATATGTATAAAGTAGTATATATTTGTATATAGGTATTAAAATTAGTATATATGTAGTTATGTTTTTGTATACAAGTGTATTTAGAAGTTGAATGATCTTTAATCCTAGGTATCACCTTATGTGTATGGATGACAATTGTGCTTGGAGTTTCAAATCTTCTGCCGTTTTCAAGGCAAACATATTCAAAGTGAGAAGTTACAATAATAATCACACATGCGGCTATGGTGAAAGATACTTAAAACAACGTCAAGCTACTTCGGGTGTAATTGCTAGTATAGTCAAGGACAAGTATGTTAATCCAAAAAAAGTTTACACCGCAAATGATATAATCGAGGACATACAAAAGCAACACGGAATTGAGGTGAGCTACATGAAAGCATGGAGAGCTAAAGAGGTAGCAATGGCAATGATAAGAGGGAGTCCAAGTGATTCATATAAGGAGTTGCCGAAGTATTTTTATATGTTGGGGCAAACAAATCTAGGAACGGTTACAAAGTTGCACAAATCAGAAGATGGATGCTTTCTTTATGCATATGTCTCGCTATATGTATCTATCAATGGCTGGGAGCATTACAGACCGATAATGGTTGTTGATGGAAGTTTCCTTAAAGCAGCATATAAGGGTACCATATTGACTGCTTGCACACAGGATGGAGCTGGTGAGTTGACTGCATCTACCTTGTTTCTGCAGTTTGTATAATGTTGTAGTTTCATGTATAAAAGTGTATAGGATTTCACAGCTACTGTTTTTATAAAATTTGCAGTTGGTATAAAATTGTATAATTGTGTATAATTGTGTATAAGATTTGTATAATTGTCTGAATCCTAATATCTATTTTTATAAACAGGAAAAATCCTTCCACTTGCATATGCAATTGTAGATTCAGAGAATAACAAATCTTGGGAGTGGTTCTTTGTCCAGATAAAGGGTACTTTTGGAGTTAGGGAAGGGATGTGTATAGTTTCAGATAGAAATGAAAGCATCTTCAATGCCACAAAAGCTGTGTACCCAGAAGTACCACATTGTATTTGCATGTTTCACTTGTGGCAGAATGTAAAGCGCACATTCAAGAAACATCACAAATAATTGAAGGATATCTTCTTTGCTTTGGCTAGAGCTAACACGATAGAGAAGTTTGAGTACCATATGACAGAGATGTGCAAAATTGATCCGAGAGTGCAGCCTTACTTGTTCGAAATTGGCTACGAAAGGTGGTATAGGGCATATTCCAAAGTGAAAAGGTCGATGGTAATGACTTCCAATATTGCAGAGTCAATTAATGCAGCAAACAAGGATGCTAGAGAGTTACCAGTAATGCGATTGCTGGAGTAAATGATAAATTTGCTACAACAGTGGAACAACAAAAACAGAAAAAGTGCAATGGAGACATCTACAGAGCTTGGCGAAAAGTACGACAAACTCCTTCGGGAAAATCTGATTGCATCGGAGCAAATGACGGTAAATTGAATCAAATATAATGATGCTTGGCACTGCTGACTTGCATTTTACTGCTTGTATAAGGATGTATATCTCTGTATAATAATGTATAATGTTCTTTCACTTTTTTTTAAAAAAAAAAAACTTTTGCAGGTGAGGCCTGCTAGGAGAAGTTATATACTGTGTTTGAAGGGGTAAGGCGAAACATAGTGTGCCTTGAAGAGGGAACATGCAGTTGTGGAAAATTTCAAATGGATGAACTTCCATGTCCGCATGCTTGGGCGGTTTTGAAGAACCAGCAGCTGAAACCTGGCCAGTATTGCTCTTTTTACTACAAGAAGGATAAACTCCTTAGAACTTATGAATTTCCAGTGAATCCGATGCTAGATGAGAGTTTATGGGTAGTCCCAACAGAGGTGATGGAAGATGTGGTCCTACCACCTAAAGGGAGAAGGAATGCAGGAAGGCCAAGAAAGGAAAGACTCAAACCTGCTTCAGAAAAAGAGTCTAAGAGGGCATTTTCATGTTCTGTGTGTGGACAAGGTGGTCACAATAGAAAAACATGTAGGAATCGACCAAATAAAATAGTTGAAAACATAACACTTCCTATTACATTTGTTGTCATGTTGAGTAGTTAAGTTTCACAAAGAATAGAGTTACAAATGTTGAGTAGTTAAGTTTCACAAGTAATCGAGTTACAAATGTCAATAAAGAATTACAACTTACGCTATATATTGCAATTATGTTAAATATGTTTCATTATACATGTTTTGATTATCCAATAATAGTGTGTTGCTGTTTTTAATGGTGCTAAATATATTGATAGATTGTACAAATACAAAACTAACTGCTGGTATTATATGTATACAGATGTATAAATGAGAGTATAAATTTGTATAACTATGTATATTATCGTATAAACATGTATAAACCCTGCTACATTAACAAAACTGCAACCATAATGAAAATACATACTTTGTTAAAGGACAAAAGCAACTGATATATTCATTAAAATGTAATTCATTCACAGCCACAATGTGTAATGACTACCGCAAATTACACAAAAATAAAAATATCTATAATATCCTTTAAGGTTATCTCACAAGTAGCAGAATATTACTTAGACAAAACTAGGCAACAACACCTGATACATAGAAAAATTACAGTAAAATATAAAAAACAAAACTACTTTCTCGGTCGCCCCCTCTTCCTCTTCTTGAAAGTTCCTCCCTGTGATTTCATCACCACTAATTGCACCGGACTGTTGTTTTTTCCTTCCATAATCCCACAACAGAGATCCCCACCTGGTGCGAAGTGTCTCAATGTCAAACTTATCTTTTCGAATTTCCTTACCAAGATGAAATACTCAGCAAAAGCCCAGCAACAAAAGCACCATAATCACTGTAATTAAAAAGAAACAAATCAGCATTCAAGATAGGTACCAACTAATAGTAAAATAGTAAAACAATTGAGATTAACCTACATTTTGATCTGAGTGGGGAACATTATTAACCAGATTAATCTGCAAGCATCAAAATGTGATTTATCGGTATAGTAGCATCCAATCTGTTACAATCAATGCTAATCCTTCTCTCCGACCATATAAAAGTCTAGGATAGCTTCAAGAAGTAAGGTATCAGAATTGCATAAAGGTTGAATGCAGAGCATCCACAACATATGTTCTTCCTGTTTACCAAACTTATGTCTCTTTCACTGTTTGTTATCACGACATTTCATGATGATGGAGTGAAGCTGCATTTAAGTTTATCCTCAATTGTATCTGTTTAGAATCTGTGTCAAACACCCCCAAAGAGCCCATGAGCCCAAATACTCTTGAGTACTTTCTCTCTTGCTTAAAACATTTAGATTATGGTGAATAAGACGGAAACATTTCAAGGCAAATTTGCTTCAGCATTTCAGGATTAAAAGTCCAACAAGTGCTGCCACGGGACGTTTGCATCACAATAATATCCTCCAATGTACTCTTTATCTCATGCCCTTCAGGAAATCCCACCTGCATTACATACGGGAAGGATTCTTGATTCACTTTTAAATAGAAGAACTTTAGATGAGCTCAGGCGAGTTGATATTGTGTTCAATCCTCCAATCGCATAATGTCGGTCTGTCAGTAAACCTGCATGGCAACACTGGTGTGCCCATAATATTTTCCCTCTTTCTCCTCAAATAATAAAGAGGGAACATCCAAGTGCCTGAGAGTCAATGACAATAAAAACAAAGTAATAACTTAACCTCATACTCCCACTACCAAGATATTTAAATATAGAAAATTTATACACTATTAATACAGTAACATGAATACTATTTATTCACTAATTACTCTCAGATAGGTTCTTATACAAGTTGCTTATTTAACCGTGATCTATACTAATCCATGGCTATGTATACACCTATGGCGTGCATCAAATAATTAGACTACATTCAACAAATAAATAATAAATAGGTCATATTATGGTAGAACATGATAATGTATAGTAAACTAATTACCTGCGTCCATTGGAATGAAAACATAGGGAAACTCAAAAATCGTCGAGGCCCACCAAATTATATGTAAGTGATAGTGGAACCAATTCCCTGTAACGTGTATTGCCAGGTCGCAGACGAATTAGTTAACTGACAGAGCCAAAAAAAAGTTAATAAATGACGCTCTTCCGCAAAGCTTATTTACTTCTATCGCAGCGGATATATAATTTTATGGCATCTGATAAAATTCACAAAGAATATAAATATACAAGTAATCTACTAGAAGTAAGTACATTCTATTCGAAACAAGGTATAAAAATCAGACATTACATGATTGGATTAAAGAAAAAGGTCTGAAATAGCAATTCGCCTCTGGTATCCCACACTCCCTACTATATCAAACAAACGCTGTCGAAGAGCCTCTATATATTTACGCCAATGGCGACAATGGATCAAAATTGACTAACAATACTCAATAATTACTGATCGTGAAAGTGAGGATGCTTGATATCAAAAATGAGCTTGGGTGCCTGACCTGATGCCCCCGAATTAAAAAAACTGGCCAAATATGGAGGGAGTTTGGCATATTTGTCCTGATTTTCTAGCTGCGGAAAACTTTACATTTTCAGTGGAGAGAATTGTAATCATTCTTCTACGTTCTATGATGGATTATTGTTGAAGCTAACAATTAGTTTTGGAGACACTCTTGTCCAGCTCGGCCCAGCGCTAAATCTTCATCGCCATATTGTTAACACTCCCAATCGAATTGTGTCAACCCTTGAACATCACCTGCTTCACCTATAGACAGGGACGAAAAAGGTGAATAAAATTTTAAGAGAAACTTTAAATCAAGAAAAGAAAAAATATTTTCAGCAACAAAACCACAAAATAAAAATTCTAAGATAAGCAAAAGTAATTTACCATTGATCACGCTGTCCCCATTCGATAAGTAACTTGCCTCTCGTTCAACTGTGCACGTGAATCTTGAATATACTACTTTATGTGACGAAAGTGGAGCGTTAAGCACACATCATAATTGAATACGCCACTCTCATAAATCCGCCAAGAACCTAGCATGTATTAGTCATCAGACACGGCCTGACGAAGTATAATAAAAAATTAATAGAAGAGAACGCATGTTTGAAGAGTTGCTGAATGATTCAGGAGAAGGCTTAACTGTTGAGGATTTGGTTTTATAGTAAAGCAATTACTTGTTAGAATCTCAGATGAGAATTAAACTCCGATCCCGCGTGCTTGTGCATTGGTTCTTTCATATTCAGGAAAAACTGAACACTTTTTTTTCAAAGGAAAGATACCTACATAAAATTGTTTTACGTAATGAGTGTTCAGTTCAGTGTGATAAAAGTGGACAAACAATTACTCAACAAAACGAACACATAAAAAAATAGAGCAAATCATACAAAGACATCCATGTGTTAATCCATAAAAACCATGATAAATTTATTACCAAAAATGTCAAACTGATAAGAGAACGATATAGAAAAGTTTATAATAGGCAGTCCAAGATGTAATCTCTTTCCTATACTCCTCAACTTCTCAACTTCAGCGATTTCATACAGATCCAACTGTGTGCCACCAGAACACAGATCATAAACTCGGAGTGAGAGCTGATTCTCGATGATATCTCAATAATATCTTTGGAGAGGAAAATGTCGTTTAGACTGTGCTGCTCGTATTCATGAGGAATGAGAGGTCTTTACGTGTCTAGTAGTGTAGTTTGCTCCATAATCGCAATTTAATTTGAGGACAATCCTGGAGTTTGATGGTGCTGCTACTTGGTCTAGCGCAACCAGAAATATTTCACTCAGTGTGAAAAAGGTCTCTTGCTTTAATTACGTAACCTCTGACAGAGAAATTGCGCACATCCCCTGATGCAATCATATCGGCATTAACGTTCAAAAGCGGTGTCTTATGTTGCAGAGTGACATCTCTTCACGAGGTAGCGGAAATGTTCCAATAGTTCAACTACAAAAGAAGAAAAACTGGATTACGAATTAAAGGAAAAGGAAATTCATGATAACATATTACGATAAATATACATACAGGAAAACAGAAATTCATATATGAAGAAGGTATTATGGTACAAAATAATTTACCTTTTAGACCCAGATTTCGAGCGTACACTTACATGTGAGTCTCATCCTCCTGGCTAGTCTCATAACATCTCATATGTAATAGAAGAGTTTGTGAGTCCCCTTCCAAATTATAATGGAGCATGGCGTGCTTTAGTTTGTGCCAACGCGAACAGCTATACATGGCTTTGTCAACCAGTACTAGAAAGCCAACACTCAAAAAACCATATTTGTAATGCAAGTGGCAACCTCCAAGCCTATACATTGATCAAATAGTCACAGCTAGTCTGTGCCCCTCGCAATTACTTCCTGTTTGCCGTGTAAAAAATTATTCTCTTCGGTCTACATATGACTCAATTATAATCCCCAATCGCATATGTCTGGAGTATTGCGCAAACTAATTCGAGATGATGAGTTCAAAAGGTCACCCTTTGTCTTGAATACCAGGGGAATTGATTCGGAACAAATTCTCGAGAATAATGTAAAATGATGGGAACAAGATCAGCCCTAGTCAGAGCGCCAATTTGCCCTGTTCGGAAGAAACGCATCTTTTGTTTCCGAACTTCCACGTTACACTTGTCTTCTTGAAGACGATTCATAATAGAAGCTAATGCTCCCTCTTTCGTCAAGTTTCATAGCCCTTTAGTTCTCCCCCATCCTTTCCTTAAGTGGCATTGAAAGAGGTACTCTTTGCAATATGTCACACCCTCGATTTAAACATCTGGTTTGTTCTCATGAACACAAGTTGGCGATCGTCTTCTACCACACTTAGCAAACCAGTGATAAATCAGAGCGAAAACATCTCCTCAAATAGCTCTCATATACGCCAGGGCAAGACAAACAATTAATTTGTGCGAAACCAACATCAACTTCGTGCCTTTTCACGTCCTGGGACGACTTCCCTCAAAATATACAATGAATAAGTGATTTTGAATTTATAAATTTGAGGCGAGGTCCCAAGAAGTAACCCAAAAACAACTAGCACGGGAAACATTTGAAGCTGGTGTGTCAGTCAAATATTGCTTCGAAGAAATGCTCACAATCTCAGTCTCGGTATGGGGAGC